GAGGAGAATATTGAAAGTGCCATGGGCTGCCAAAAGAACCAACAAATCTGTGTTGGAAGAAGTGCAGCCAGAGTGCTCCTTGGAGGCCAGGATGGCCAAACTTCATCTCTCCTACTTCAGGCATATTGTCAGGAGGGACCAATCATTGGAGAAGGAGAGGAAGACCCCCAGAGAGATGGATTGGCAAAGTGGCAGCATCAAAGGGCTCAAGCATGGCAACAAGTGAGAGGTTGGACCAGGACCAGGCAGTGTTTCGTTATGTTGTTCATAGGGTAGCTATGAGTTGGCACCGATTCGATGGCACCAAACAACAACATGAGATGGAACTGACTCTACAGCACATAACCACTACCACCATCACCACAAGGAAGACCAGGCAATACCACTATTATCCAAATTTACACACCAAACACCAAAGCCAATGCCGATGAAATTGAAGAATTCTACTAATGTCTTCAATTTGAAATTGATAAAACATGAAATCAAGATGTATCGATAACTATTGGTAATTGGAATGTGAAAGTTGGAAACAAAGACGCACCAGTAGTTAGAAAATGGGGCCTTGGTGATAGAAATGATGCTAGAAATCACATGATAGAATTTGATCACCAACAACTTATTCATTTCTAATACCTTTTCCCAATAACATAATTGGTGACTATACACATGGACTTTACCAGATGGAATGCACAGGAATTAACCTGACTACATCTGTGAGAAGAGATGGTAAAGAAGCTCAGAGTATCATCAGCCAAAACAAGGCCAGGGGTAGACTATGGAACAGGCCATCAAGTGCTCATATGCAAGTTCAGGTTGATGCTGTAGAAAATTAGAATGAGTCTATGACATCATTAACATTATACATGATACATGAAGAAAACAAAAGGTCATTTTTAATAAAGGAAAGAAAAAACTAAAATAGATGTCAGAGAGCCTCTGAAACTTGTCTTGAACATAGAAAAGCTGAAGTGACTGAATTAAGTTTGAAAGTGAAGGAGCTGAACAGAAAACTTCAAAGAGCAACTCTAGAAAACAGTCAAGTATTATAATCAAATGAACAAAAACCTGGAGCTAGAAAACCAAAAGAAAAGAATATGCTCAGTATTTCTCAAGCTGAAATTAAAGTTTCAAGTTACAATATTGTGGGCAAACTATTGAATGATTCAGGCAGCATCAAAAGAAGATGGAGAGAATACACAAAAGCACTGTACCAAAAAGGATTATTCAATGTTCAAACTTCTCAAAAAGTAGCATATGATCAAGAACCAACAGTACTGAATGAAGAAATCCAAGCTGTACTGAAGACACAAGGCCCCAGGAATTGATAGGCTACAAACTGAAATGTTTCACTGGAGTTTTGTTGTTGTTGTTAGTGCCATCAAATCGGTACGGACTCATAGCGACCCTATACACAGCAGAATGAAACGCTGCCTGATTCTGGGCCAACCTCACTATGGTTGCCACGCTTGAGTCCATCAATGTTGCCACGCTTGAGTCCATCAATGCTGCCACTTGGCCAATCCTTGTCATTGGGGGTCTTCCTTTTCTTCTCTGACCCTCCACCTTACCAAACATGATATCCTTCTCCAGCAACTGGTCCCTCCTGACAATATGCACAAAGTATGAGACACGATGTTTGGCCAACCTGGCCTCCAAGGAGCACCCTGGCTGCACTTCTTCCAAAAAGGATCTATTGGTTCTTTTAGAAGCACATGGCACTTTCAATATTCT